TGGTTCAAGAAATTCACAATGTGTTTAATGTTTCCCTGCCAACAACCGACAGTCCAAATCATGAGGTTGGCCTCTCTATAATTCAGTTTTTTGATCTAATTCCCAGCCCTGACCCTAGCAAAATTTGCCGTCAACTTAGCCCACGCCGGACGCGCAGTGAGCTCGTTCCACCAACTGACGTGAGGACGCGTCAATAAACCATGTCCTCTTTTAACGGAAAGAAGCACCCACCGAGTGACATTGGGGCGACTCTTGCTCGTCATGATATCTATCCCATTTTCCGCAAGCCGGGGCGCATGGGCGAAGTGGAACAGATCCGCGAGCGAATATTCCTGTCCGACCAGCAGCGAATAAGCGCGCATTCCGTGTGAGTAGCATGCATGTGTGTTTCTGCGCAAGGTAAACTACTCACATCGCCTCCCAGGAACTTGTGTTTCCCGAGGATGACGTCATAGACGTCGAGTACCGCAGAAAGCTCCGCGAGAGCCTCGTCGAAAACGTTTTGGTCGAAGGGGAGACCGCGGAGCCTGAGATGCGGTGTTGACGGTGCGTACTTCCAGGCCGAGGGGAGACTCACTTTTTCCCACCTTCGCGGAATAACTTGAGGATCGCAGGCTCAAAGTTGGCGGACTCGACCGCTGCTCCCTGCTCGACCATGGCGCGCTCCTTCAGGCCTTTGGGGAAAAGGTTCGGGCCCTGATCTGCATATTTTTCGGCGAGGTAACGACAGATGGCACGGCTTTCCGAAGGGGATCTGCTTCTCCGCTAGTAGAAGGTAGACAAGACCACTGCCGCGGCCAGGGTAGGGCACTGCATAAAGTTTAAGAACCATGTTGGATTCAGGTAAGTGTCGAGTTGAGGAACGAAGTGCTTTGACCGAAGCTCAAGCTTAAGTAGATTTGAACTGATGTAATCTTGCTGACCTGTCCTCGGAACCACGACCGCTTGTGGATCGGGTGAACCCGGAGTACTTACCCCTACTTACCCCGTAGTTTGTAGCGCCGGTCTGTTAGCCAAGGTTGGTATATCTTTCAGTAAGACTGATGGTCAAGTCGGGTGAAATGCATTTGTATATGGGACATATTGTTCCTGGTACCGACTTAGGGACAAGGTCTAAAAACGGACATTTCCAAAGCTAGTACGGAGCGAACTCTAAGTTCAACAGTGTTCGCCCTTAAGGCCTTAAATCGCGTTTTGAGAATCCTTGCGGCCTTAACAAGGGTAAGGGCTTAAATTCAAGGGCATTTTTAAGGCTTCAAACATTTTTTCCAACAGCGAGATGTTAGGGGCCGAAATTGAACCGTGGGAATGGAAGAAAGATGAGTTCAGCGGATGCATTCCCCTCAGGTTTAGTTCAGTTCCAGATGGATGATCCGATGCTCCGCAAGCTCCTTCTACTACTAGTTCCAACACAATCAACCAAAGGAAACAAAGCACCACTTCAACTCTGAATGTGGATCCAACTTGAATTTCAAGCTTGTGTATAGATACTAGGTGCATGCTCACCACCTTACACCCTTTTCACTTCCCGGCTATGGAGGAACTGATGTTGGATGGAGGTTTTTTCGAGCACACAACCTGAATTACAGCACACTCCAGCCAACAAGCCGCCGCTCGTCGCCGACCTTTGGTCGCTCCTCACGGCGATGACTCAGAACTTATCATGTGGAAAGGTTCAAGCATGAAGGTATTAGCTAACTTTTGATAAACAGTCTTTGAGGGATAAATCTCTTTGGCACCCCCCTTGATTACATAAAAGTTTGCTTATCTGGTTTGATGGCGCTGATGGCGGGAAAGGTTCGGGATGTTCCTGACAAGCTAATATGGGTGCGATAATTCTGGAAAAAAAATTCCACTAACAGAGGGACACAAGGGCCTAACATCTGAAATTTTTTCCAGTTTATATACTAGAAATTGGAAGGCTGTCGGCCAGACAGTCAACACTAGGACCAAAACTCACACCGAAGTCCAACAAGACCACACTATGGATTCCAGACGAGAGAGAACACGGGTACAGCGACGAGACGACGGTAAAGGACAAGGAGCAACTCCGGTACGTAAGCATCCGATCGGTCCGGTAAACCGGCCAGGTTTACAGAAATTGGATGCTTTTTGGGCCTTTCCCCTCGGAAACCCGAAAACCTCCCAAACAAAGGTCACAAAATGATTGAAAAAAAAAAGGAAAGGACATGTGAGTATCAATTTGACAATTTTTTCCCCGTCAAATCCTTCGGAAACGAACAAAAAATGGAGGGGTCAAAGCATTGATAATCTCTTATCAAAGTAGTGTTATCTCATCTTATCACCTTGGTGGGGGTGCCAAATAGAACTTGTCTATTTGGCACCCGGGGTACTGGCGGCATTGGGGGTGCCAAATAGATTTATCCGTCTTTGAGATAGGCGCTTTAATTTCAGATTCTCTGAGGAATTCTGAATTACACGCTTCAATGAGGATTATAATATGTCAAGTTTAAATTGGGAATTGGCCATTCTGGTGGAAAACCTTTGGAGTAACATCCATGAAAGCTGGATTACCCCTGAGACCCGCGCCGGTGAGATTCAATGTTGAAGCTCTGGAGACGTCGGCCCATGTGTTGGGCTTGATCCGAAAGTGTCGGATGTTCAGATGTTCAAATACCGCAAGTACGACATAAATTTTCGGACGGCAAGCATGGGACCTGGCTCGTTTCACAATTCTTCATGGGGAGCAACATACAACTTGAAGTTTGCCTGTGACATAACCAGAGTACGGCCTTATCTAATCTCTTGTGTATGTAATTATTTGTTTTTTGCAGACCCTTAACAAGCCAGGGTCCAGAGGTCTAACAAATCTAATCTCTCGTGTTTTCGAGTATTTATTTTTTGCAGACCCCTTTAAGACTAGGTGCATGCCTTGCATGCGAACACCTTGCTTCCTAAGCCTCGCAATTACGGTCTCCCAAGTAAATGAACTTTCTACCAGATCCCTTGATAAATCACAACAATGCATACACGTACTACCACTGTAACGCTTCCTTGTGCACTGCTGCCCCTCAACCACGACAGCACGCTGTTTCTTCTCGGCCACACCGCCAACTGCATTCCTACATGTTTTATCTGTACCTGCTTATCAATGGTAGAATCTGTACAGGAACCAAAGTGATGTCCCCCCAACTCCGTCATCCTTCTAACTGTGCGGCCACTTGCAGGGCACGTCTTTGGTGGTGGGGTTGATGTTGTAAACCGGTAAGAGGCACGTGCCGTACGTGTTCACTTGTAACTCAGTTTCGATAGCAACACGGAGAGAGGAAAGAAGTGCGTACAAGGCAAGTCCCCCCTTTTTTCTTGAAGACTTTCTTGCCAAACCGTATAGAAGACTGGTTCCCGTCTAACACAATCCAATTCGCAGGCATCCTCCCGGCCGAAATGTTTCCTTGAATCATCTCCGCTGCTGCGAGGTGCTTTTCCCAGTCGGCGGCCAAGTTGGGGTATTCTTGTTGTCTACGAAGGCAGGAACGGGGGCAGAATAAACGATGAACGGATCAGGTGGATGGATAATTATGTTGTTGTATAGTGTCAGTGAAGGATGTTCAATTTGGATGAAGACACACAATCCAGTCTTGCTCAGAGTTTTCTTTATTCCTAACGAATCCAGGTTTCCCGTCACTGTCGTCATTGGTGCAATCTAATTGGGGAGAGCAGTATGGCAATTTGCCATTTTTTTTCTTTCTTTGCAGACTCCTAACATTTCCAGGGACCAGGGTATGTGTAGTGGCACAATGTTATCGGTGCCCAAAGATTTGTTTTTTGCAGACCCCTAAAGGTTTCCCATCGTCCCAGTGTTTGTACGTGTGATGGCACTATCTTATCAGTGTCCAAATATTTGTTTTTTGCAGACCCCTAACATATCCAGGTTTCCCGTCGTCCCAGTATTTGTATGTGTAGTGGCACTATCTTATCTCAAGTGTTGACGCATATTTGTTTTTAGCAGATTTACGTCAGTATTTGATGGAGTTTCGACTATGGGGGACTGTAAACCTGGCCCCGGTTTACGGACCGATCCACCGCTTACATACCGCAGTTGTCCATTGTCTTCTACCGTCTTGTCCGTAGCCTCGCCCGCTCGTCCTCGTCGAATATACCGTGGTCTTGTTGATCTTGGTGTGTCTGACTTTTCAGTGTTTCCTGTTGGCCGCAGGCTTCCAGGGACCTAGCTAAAGCAAGGTAACACAACCACTGAACTACTCAGGTTGGGGGAGTAAGGTGATGCAGTGGATAACACCCTGACTTTCTCAAAAACGAGTGGTGTGGGTCAACCCAGCGTCAATGAGTTGAAAGAAGAAGAAAAACTCTGCAAAAGGATTCCGAATAGGGGAATCGAACCCCTGGCTGCCGCGCACATCACGTTCCCGTGATTACGTAAGCGCACGATGAGAGGCGGCGATGGATCCACGGAGAGGATACACGTCACTGCACTGGAGATTACAATAAACCTACAAGTGACTCTCCCAGCAATCCTTCCCGTGGATCCACGGGAAGGATGCGGTGGCCACTTTCCCAATTGGGAAATTGGCGGCAGTAGTCCCAATCTGGTGCAGCAGCCCTCCAGAGCCGTATACGCTGCTAGCAGCATTATAGAAAACCTACTCTACTTGAAACCTGGTAGACACTAGTATCTAAGTAGTCTGTATACAGAACACACCAAAAAACACTAGTATCTACACAAAAGACATGCAACAAAACAGCAGGTCCCAATTTTTTTTCTCGGGGTTTTGGGCACTGCCCGCAGAGCATAAGAGAAGGAGGACGACCGTCGTATCAAAGGTTGGCAAAGAATTAAAAAGGAACAAAAAGATTCCGACGAGGAAAAAATCGTTCCGACACGGGGGGTCGAACCCCGGGCTACCGCGCCCACAATGTGGTGCTTTGAACCTCCACAAATGAGAGGCGGTAATGTGTTAGTCAACCCAAAGTGAATATTCGAATGACTTTGAAAGAAGAAGAAAAACTCTGCAAAAGAATTCCGAATAGGGGAATCGAACCCCTGGCTGCCGCGAATATCACCGGATCGATTACGTAAGTCAAATGAGAGGCGGCAATGTTAAACCACTACACCAATTCGGACATGTATAACGGTGGGATGATCATAGAACACATACAATGCATCGTAAAGAGCGACAAAAGTTGGTTTCGTGATAATAAGAAACTCTCTTCACGCTTTGCTCGCATTACCCTCCCATGTCTCCCATGCAATTGGTGGACCCCAAGTACGAGTCGGATTGGGAGATGTCGTGTCTCGGATACGGAACCTCCGCCGCTTGCATTTTGAATTGCTGCGCAGGTTCGCAAAGTGCGACTCCAAACCCAGCAGTTCCACGAATTCGGAGTTGCATTTATTGCAAAGATACAGCTACGTGGAAATGAGTGGCAAGCGCGGGCTATAGGCAAGTCGGAAACGTACCGGGAGAGACGGCGTCACTGGAGAGGGCGACGGCTTCGCAAGCGAGTCAGTAGGAGATGGAGAAAAGGGTAGCCCACTCACGAGACGCGGGCGTTTTGACGAGCCTTCCTCGGGATCCTAGCAAGCAGTCAGCGCGGGACGTCTAGGAGATGAGACGCACGATGGGACTGCGCGGGCGCTTTGACGGACCCGGCTCCGACGCTTTCTTCAGCTGCTCCTAATTGCGGATACTATGAAAAGTTACGCGCTGTACGAGTGCACCTTGAAGATTTTTCGGCGGGGGTCCATGCGCGAAAGGAGGGGAACGCATGTTGCGAGAAACGGCGGGCTAAACAAAAGGCGTCCGGGGTGATACCAAACCGAAACAAATACATTCATGTCGTCGACGTTCATGTCCTCGATCACCTGGTCCTTGTTCTTCGCCGAGGTACGTGTGTGGCTCTGGAGCTCGTATTCTGCTCGCTCACGCACCTTTCAGGGACGCCTCGTAGCGGTGAACGGCGAGCTCAATATAATCATCTTGTATTCGCGTGGAAGGGAGCCCAATGAATCCGGCCCCGGGTGAGTCGTCTGTCCCGCATCGCGTCGACTGGCCTGATAGCAGATTTACAGTATAGTTCCCGTCCTCCACGTTGCCGGGATCGAGGTGCCTACGACCGCTTATGCGTGGCGGCGGAGCCAAGGGTAGCCGATACTAGAGGTTTCTTGGAGGCCTGCGCGCGGCCAATTGGGAGAAATCCAAAGATGTCTGATTCTTGAAGATGGACTGTATTCATATGTTGTCGACTACGATGATTGCACCCACGTGTGGTAAGCGTGAGACCGTCGCTCGCGCAGCTACCGAAAACGGGATTTGACTACTTAAAGGACAGCGTATGGTCGGGTGGCGCGTAGAGAAATTTCGGGTGGAACGCAGGAATCGTGCACGCTGGCCCGTCCTGGATGAGAACGTGATTCGAAGAAATATGGCGCGCATTAGCAGTGAGGTGCGCAGGATAGGCCAGGGAATTCCTTGGTGGGAGTTGGGGTCCATGCAATGCACGGGTGAAATTAAGGGCGCGGTGAAATTTAATTGGGGGTCCATGCAATGCATGGGTGGAATTAGGGGCGCGGGGTCATGTTAGGGGCTATTACCAGATATGGATTTTGTTCCAAATTTTGGAACGAAAGGCGGACGGGCTGCGCGCACAAAAGAATGTCGGCGGCGCCGTTCGAACGTGGGTAGTGATGTTCTGGCTTTGGCTTTGGCTTTTTGGCTTTGGCTTGGCCTCCGAAAATCTCAAGCCAGGCCAGGGCCAAACTTTTGGCTTTGGCCTGGCTTTGGCTTGGCTTGGCCTGAGCCATGGCTTTTGGCAGGGAAATCAGCTTGAATTTGGCTTTGGCCCGGATAAATCCCAGGCCAGGCCAAAGCCAACCCCAGCCAAAGCCAGAACAAGCCAAAGCCAAGCCAAAAAGCCGTGGCTTTTTGGCCTGAGGCCAAAGCCAGAACATCACTAAACGTGGGGTCGATGGGTCGATTGGGAGGGGGTGTTGACCGCTGAGCAAGGCGGCTGTTGGAGATGAGCGGAAAAGGGGCGTGATTGGGGGGCGATGAGGGCGGTGCAGGCGGGCGGGCGGCGCGGACTGGGCGGGAGTGAGGGACGGTAACGATGACGGGGTGGTGACGTCGTTTTCGAACGTTGGTAACGTTTGGTTAGCATCTGACGTCAGCGCGACCACGCTGCCTATCGCTCGGCGCGTCGCGCCGCCGCACCGACTGCGTCGGCGCGGCCCCGCTCTATACAGTGGCGAAAGAAAATGGCGTCGCTTCGCTCCACCATTTTTTTCGCTTGGGCGTCATCCCGCGCCGCCGCTTCGCGGCCCCGCTCTATATAGAGTGAAAAAAAAAGCACCCCGAGCTCCGCTCAGGGTCCTTTTTTTTTCCGCCACGTCATCCCGCGCTGCCGCACCGACTGCGTCGGCGCGGCCCCGCTCTATACAGAGTGGCCAAAAAAAAAAGAAAAGCAACCCCTCGCTGCGCTCGGGGTTGCTTTTCTTTTTTTTCAGGAGGCCAGAGAGGCGGTAATGTTACCGCTACACCATATCGGACATATCTGCTTAGTGAATAACCGGGATGTGCACACATAGAAACATTGAATTCAAGTTAGACCGGGTCAAGCTAAGGATGGTGTGCGAAAATTATTATTCTAGCTAGAGCGAGATGGGAGTAAGAACAAAGGCGAGATGACGGCACGCACCTTTAGTCTAGTCTCGCATCAAGTCGGGGTTCTCAGCCCATGTATTATACTCAATCGTTGCTCCGAATCGCTTTCCAACCGACGCGTTGGGAAGGCGTTGTCGAAACGTCCTCTTCTTACACTTTGAATTTTTTCGGAGGGTGGAGAAGTGTCCGTGCAAGGCGTCGACGTCAAAGAACCGGCCGTCGCAGCCATTGCATACGAACATCTGAAGCATGTCAGAAGTGTCGGAGAGAGAGTGAAGAAACAATACGCACAGCATTCTCGGGTGGGTGCTGCAAAACTCTGGCTTTTTTTGCAGTCGACGGGCCTTCTCCGCGGTCCTGGCAGGTGGTCAAGGCGATGCGCGTCACAACGAAAGAAAGCGCACCTCGTCGTCATCCTGCGGAACGTTGTTAGTGGGTAAAGTTGGTGATTAGAGTGACCGGCTTACCGATGGCCCCCGCTTCGATGACCCTTCGCCCGTGGATGACCCTTCGCCCGTGTCGGACACCTGGTTTTGCTACGGAAATCGTTGGCGAAGAATGTAGATGGTATACGAAACTAACCTGTGCGACCCAATCCGAGATGAGGATCTTGGGTCCAAACTTGCGGCCCGCGCCGGGGATCTTGATCGAAAAGTGGGTGGGCAGGCACTTTGTGTCGTCCATGTGCTGTCGGATGTCTGCGTACTGTTTTCGACACAAGCCGTCGCACTTGTGAATTAAGATGGCCCCACGGCCTGAATTTGCCGGCGGGGCGTTCTAAAAAGACGGTTAGTAGGAAACGAGAGAATGAAGGTGAGACTCGCCTCCAAGGGCCACTGCCGGTCCGGGCCCTGTCGCTCGTTGTCGACTACTTCCTGATACCGATTACGGGATCGGCACTTGGAAGAAATCAAGTGCTTTCCGATGTCATCGTAGCGCTTGCTGCAGCCGTAGCAATGCCCGACTACGGCGTTCGACGACTGAGCAGCTTCTGTGCGCGCCTTCTTGAGGTTCGCCTCTCGAATTTGGCGCTCCGTTTGCTTTCCCTTGATGACGGCGATCTTCTTGACCGGAACCGGGTCCACGTCCATCTCGTCGTCGTCGTGGAGATGTGCCAAGTCGACGGCGGGGAGGACAGGTACGGTGACAAGCTCGGGGAGGCGAAGGCGACGAACAACTCTGTGGTTAGTCGAACCGCAGAGCGGGACGCGATGAAACGCGACCATGTGAGTCATCAGATCGAAACGCGAGAACTTGTGGGTCCCGCAGGATGGAACGGGGCAGATGTTCTCATCGTCGTCCTTGATGAGCTCGTCGTGCGTCTTGAGGTGCGCGTGGAAGAGGGACGGCGTCAAAAATCTAACCAAAGTTCGGTGAGGGCAGCGCAGAGGATGGTTTATTAGACTCACTGGTGCATCTTCTGCTCGACGGAAAGCGTGTTGTCGAAGACACACCAGGGGCACCGCATCGGAATACTTGCGACGCCTCGAGCCGATTCGCCATGAAACTCGGGATGAACGCCTCCAAAGCCCGTGCCAGATTGGAACTCGACGGCGTTGTCGATAGCGGCAGTGAACTCGACGCCGATGGGAGTAAGATCGACCTCGCCCTCTACTCGGACGGAAAACGGCTCGTAGAGCTCGTTGAAATGGTCCCAGCAATGCGCTTCCCAGTGAAGCCCGTCACCGAGCTCGTCGACGTGCCTATGAGCGAACATGAGTGTTGGTGGAAAGAAAAAAGTAAGAGCCAACGCACCACTCGGGGCAAGTGACACAGTAATGAACCTCCACCTTCTCCCGCACGTTAATGGAATGCACCTGCCCAAAGTGCTTGACGTGATCGTCTTCGACATCCCCACACATTTCGCCGTTCTCCAGCAGGTACCGACACACGCGCTCGGGATACTTGCTGCTCGGGGGGCGGGAGAAGGAGACGATGTGCATGCGGAGATGCTCGGCAAAGCCAGCGCGGGTGTTGAAAGCCGATGTTCGCTTGCAACCGTCCCATTTGCACTTTTGAGGTTCGTACGCGTCCTCGATAAAGCGTTGAGCGCTCTCTTGCTGAGCTTTGACAAGGCAGGTGTGAATGTGCGAGCCAACCGTGTGGGAGCCGGAAAACGATTTTGGGCTAGTCACGGTCGTTAAGAGCGTCTCGAGTTGTGGTGCAACAGAACGACGTACTCGCAATCGTGGCTACACACGGGACACTTGTTTTCGGCCGTTGGTGACTCGCCCGGGTAGCACGGTGGAAAAGGTCGCTCGGGGAGGCCCAGAAGGGCATTGACAGCGGCAGCCGTCTCGAGGCCAATGTCGTCTCCCTGGTAGTGATAGAGGATATCGCAGAGGCGGCCGATCGGGTCCTCCTGCTCGATGTCCCGGAGGAAGCTGGTTGCGGCGGGGGTAGACTTGCCAGCGGAGGTGACGAACGTGTGGACGAACGGCTTGTTGGGAGCGAGCGTCT